TGGGTGGCCATGAAACAGGAGCTGAAGTTTTCTGCACAAACACACACACACACACACACACACACACACACACACACACACACACACACACACACCAGCAGGCATGCAAACCCATCTCACTGTTTGCTGTAAAGATCTCCCATCGCCTAGGTATGAGAGAAAACAAAGACCCATGTCCGTAAATCTGATGCACCAAAGAGCTCGGCCTCAGCGCCTCGGGAAATAATAATGAATATGGAATGATAGTCTGTATTTTGTACTGCAAATGCAACCAGATGCAAAAGGTGGATGGGAAAAAAATCAAGAGCAGATGTTTGAGATATAAGAGGTCTCAGCGACTGTGAGCAGCCAGTGTGCCCTGCAAACATAATGTAACCTTAGCCAGCGTGCAGAATAATCACTTACAGTATGTGTATCACCACTTTGTAATGAGGGAAGCTATAGAGGAGTTCTGCAGCTGCTCCCTGCAGTTGTTAAAGAAGCAGGCAGACACAACAGCACCCAATTAACATAGAGATGTCAGACAATGAGGAAAGCACACACGTCTGTCACATTTCTATAGTCTACTGTATATGTGGTGGTGGGAAAGGGTGTAATTGCATATCTTTCTCTTCCATAAGCTGCACAGGCACAGACATGCATATACCGTAGCTCTGCACAGGCAGCTGGTGCACACGGGCAGGAAGGTCTTGTGTTGTTTTCAGTTGGAAGACTCAGTGATGAACTTTTCTCATATATTGTACAGTTTGGTGTTTTTTTTTTAAAATTTCCATTAGATCTCTGTTTTATTGGAGCTAAGAGCGAATTAGCTTTTTTATTCAAAAACCTGGCCTCAAGTGAAAAAGCATAAACTCTGATGATATGGTTATACCTCTCAGTGATACAGTCTTATTTCTGAAATGAAACGGGTTGATAGTAACAACAAAATTTGTTTTTTTTTCTAAGGGAAGGAAAGACAAAAAAGTGGGCAGACTGAAACAAAACTGTAGTTTTTTTTTAATAAGTAAGAGATTCCTGATATGTTGAGTAACTGGATGCACACTTACTCCCATCAAACCAACAGCTTATTACATGAAATTCTCTTTCGTTGCTTTGTTGGCTGTCAGACAAACATTTAGTAATGAGAAGTAGTGTTAAGAAATGAAAGTGTTTTTGAGAAAAAAAACAACAACAATATAAATTTAAAACAGATGGTGGAAAGATGATGCTTTAAAATTAAAAACTGCTGGAATTTAAATGAAAAGCATAAAAAAGGCAGCAAGAAATAACATCATAATGAACTGCACTTACATATTTCACTATTCTTTTTTAGGTAACACTTTAGAAAACAGCCTACATCTTGGGGCAGAGCTCCCCTGCAATTAAATCGAAGTTTATTTGAAGTTACAATTTAACTTTATTTACCTGCTCATAGTTAAAGGTAACTACACTAGAATAAGGGGTTAACCAACAAAGAAATAATTATACTGCAAGTATCTTTAAGTAGTGTGTAAATGATTTTAGGTAGTGCACTTTTAATTGTGTAATTTTAAATGTAAAAAAAAATAATGTAAAGACTTCATAACATGGCCCACACTCCGAGAAGTACTCTATACATAAAATGCAAGATGGGAAATATTGTTTATGTTTCCACAAAATTACCACGAAATTTTGCATAATTAAAATTACTTGAGCAGTACTTGAAACGACTAACAGTATCATTTCTGTCTCGTCTCCTGTGAAATACCCAGAAGTTGGGCACTACGCAAATTACTTGTGCACTAGTTAAATTTACATACGCTGCTACTTAAAATGACCCATGGTATACCTAAAATTGCTTACAGAAAAATTAGTGTTACATTGCAGTTATTTCATTGTTATAATGGTTTCATTTTACCGACCTTTTTAGGTTCAATGAAACAGTACATAGTAATAAAAAAATAATAATTAGGGGAATTACAACCTTAGATATCGGCCATATTATAACATGTTACCATTTATTTAATAGTGAAAATTTTGGATTCTACTAACTTGGCCACTGTTGTGTGTTGTGTGGCCAAGCAGTACTCAGTAATGGAAATATGCACATGCACTTTCCCCACTGGTATCACTGGACAAGAGTCTTATTTACCTTAAAATGCCCAATATCACAGGATCAGACTATGGATGCAGTATAACCAGTGACTAAACTCAGTTGGGTACATTTGCTCAAGTAATTGGTAAAGTGTAGTTTTAATTTAGTATACTTTATTTGAGCATTTCTATGTTATGCTGGTTTCTTCTTCTATGCCCCTATGTATTATTTTTGTTTTTGCTGTTTTTACTTAATAAGGTATTATAAATATATTTTGATGATAAAACCTCTGCAAGCTTACTATTACTGAAGTAGTACAATTATGGCTTTTACCACAAATGCTTGCAGCAGATGGCTGCCCTCTCTGAACCTGGTTCTGTTGGAGGTTGCTTTTTGGTGAAATGACATTTTTCCTTCCCACTGTTGACAATTGCTTGCTCACAGGGGGTAGTGGGATTGTTGGGGTTTCTTTCTAATTTTTAGGGTCCTTACCTTACCATAGAAAGTGTCTTAAGGCAACTGTTGTGATTTGGCAACATACAAATTAAAGTAACACATCCTAAAACGTTGCTTGGTGCAAAATGAAGTTTAATTTCTTGCTGGTGCCACTTTTTGTATAATACAGTGAGGGCAAAGGATTGCATAAAAACCTTAGGCTGTGTTGAGTGTTTGCCAAACCAGTTCTGATCTCTGTTTACTTCTGATTAAATATTAGGCTCTCATATGGGCTCCACCTCCCTCCGTAGGCCGCCCGTCCTGCCACCACATTTCAAAACGCTCTGACTCTGAATTGCCGCTGTCCTTTTTGTCCTTTCACAGCCGCCGTAGTTGGAAGCTATAATCAAAGATGGCGCTTCCCATGCGGAATAACTTGAAACATTTCCCCAGATTCATTCAGAAGTTAAACTCGCCTGTAAGGTTGCTTTGCGCAGGACTTCGTCCGGAAAACAAGGTATGCTTTGCAAGAAAGCTTTTGTAGTTATTCACGAGCTTCGTGGGTGAAAAATTGATACGCAATAAACGCTGTTCTGATAAGAGTTTCGTTGAAAGCGATGCTTTCGGTGTTTATTTCGTGTTGAGAACTCAAAGAAGGTCAGCTAATAAATGACCAATGCACATTAACAGGTGCATTACGCTTTGAAGCAGTTTAGATGGCTTCTAAGTGTTGTGTCCGTTTCTAATAAACTCACACTCAACATGCTCTGTGTGCTGCAGCAACACCTTGACGTGTAGTTCTTCTTTACAAGGAAGGTGGAAAAACTCAATAGAGGTGTGTTATGGCAGGGGCGAGAATTTGCAGATTACGGTAGTCAGCCTCGCATATGTCCCATTTCGATCCAGTCCGTCTCATGCATGTGCACCATGAAGTGCTGTTTTGCAGACAAGGATGTATTCACAAATCTAACTGACATAATGTATCGAACAGGCGACACAACCTATGTTGGGTCACATTATCACCATTATTTCCGTCATCACAGCTATTTCTGTGACGTTAGTCAGGTGCTTGTTATTTCTTCTTTTACTCCCATTAAAAACACTTTCTCATTAGGTAAACTACCATAAGCTAATTAGAACCTAAACATCACTCTGACTCATTGTTTTTATTATTTTTTTCCTGTAACCATGTGACTGATTTCTAAAAACTAAAAGAGAAGTATCAAAATCTGGCAATAAAACGCCAGATTCTTTATTGTGTTTACTTTATGATTTGATGTTTGCCTATATTAAGAATTTTCTTTAGACAGGGTTCTTTTCAGGGCTTGGCCAATTTATCTTTCTAAGAGTGGAGTTCTCAGAGACTGCTGATCATCCTGTGGTCAAAGCTTATTTCATAAGGAGCTGATGCCTGTGCTGTTGTTGCAGCAAAACTGTATAATAATCTCATAAGGGACCTGAGATCAGCCTCAGTGTGGCTGTTTTTAAATTTGAAATTAATTTGGGTTATTTCATGTAAACTGTGAGTGAATGTAGTGTCAGATGTTTGTTTATTCTGTTTTATATTAATGTAAAGCTCTTTGGCTTTAAATCTGGTTTAGGAATAAAAATTTCTTACTTATTTAAACAATTGAAAACGATGTGTTCAGCTACTGACAGAAGGTACAAAAAATTACCTGTAGATGAGTTACACCCACCTGATGTATTACCGAACAAAAGAAGGTGCAGCAGACTTGTGTAACAAAGCTAATGTCAGTAATTACATCATCTTCTAGGATGTTTAGAACTTCACTAGATGACAGGACATCAACCCATTTCTCTTTTTCACTCATCTCAATAATCTTCCTGCAGCCACTTTGATCTTTTGCTTATACCGAGGCTGCTGGCTTGCGGCTGGCTCTGAGCTCTGGTTAGCTTTAGCCACCTTTCCTTTGTTAGCTTTTTTAAAATATCCACGTTCAGCTGGGTCAGGGTGATATGAGTATATGGTTAGGTTTGTTGTTAGCAATGTTTTTGTGGTGGATTACTTTACCAACCTGTGTGTCTTTACTTACAGCGGAGAGCTTTCACGCTAATGACATGCTACTGTGTCACTGTACACAGTATGAAGTATGAAAAGTACTGACACACGCAATGATTAAATTACACTCTTTAGTCGCAGCTGTTAGATTTCTTCTTGTTCAAAAGAAGAAAAAAAACTTGTACTTTTTGTTGCACTCTGGATGAAAATAAAGACAGATGATATTAAATTCAGGTTCCACATCCTGGAAATGAATATTCTCACTGAAACCTCATAAATACATTTTAAAAAACTGTTCTTTAAATTGCTGAAATGTACTGAAACGTAATAAGTTTAGCATTATTATTATTGTTGTTGTGTTTTGTTTTTTTAAGTTTGATTAATTCAACTACTTTTAGAATTTCCAAATTCATAATTAGACCCATTCTGGAAAAATTACAGGAATTCTGGAAATCAATCTAAAGTGATTAAAATGATGTGCAGTGTGGCTATAACTGGCTGGGATGAAGCCAAGTTGTGGATCTGGACAACTGCTGACAATTTGGGAAAATGTTCTGATCTGTTTTGAACCTGGAACGCCTCATTACACTTTGTTTATTTTTATTCTGTGCAAGAATTCAATCATCCAATATTCTTCCTTTGGCTGGAGGAATATTGGAGGCTGGGGCCGTAGTTTGGACTAGAACAAAACATAGTTTCACCCAGTCCCTGTTGGAAAGGGATTCTGGGAAATGGAGGAAGTAAACTGAGATTGAATTAAGCAAGCAAGACATGGTTGTCTCAGTTATATAAACTAGTGGTGTCACAGTTCATTTTCTTTTTTCTTATCAAGAGTCATTTAGTGTGTTTTTGGTTTCTGCATGAGTTTGAAGATTTATTCTGTGATGTAACACGTTGTATTTGTTCACTATTTTAGTAGTTTTCATTTGCTCGCCTGGCTTGAGTTTGTTTTGTGGAGTTTATTTTCCTAGTCTGGCATGTGACATCACATCCTCAGTAGCACTCCTTAAGTGTACCTTTTTGACTTCAGTGGATTCGAGAAACACGCCTAATATAAGTCAGCTTAGGGCTTTTTATCATTGTGCAGCTGCCCTTGCGAAGCAAATGATGTGTTAAGGCAAACGATGAGTCCCTTGGCACACGTAAAAACAACCAGTTTGTTTCAGAGTAACAACAATCCTAAATATTGAGTTGTTCTGGCATGACTGTGCACCTCCAAACTTCACCCATCTGCTCAAAACTCCACTGCTGGTTGATGTACGAGCTGTAACACAGAATCTGAGTTCACTGCCATCTCGTCTGTATTTTGTTAAGCCAAAGTCTCTGGAGGGGCCGGAGAAGGTGTGCGACGAGAGGGGAGGAAGGGGTGGAAAGCTGGGGGGGGGGGACTCTGAAAGCATCACAGCGGTGCTTCATTACCAGCAATAACATCAGAAATGAAGTGTTGGTTTTCATTTGTTTTAATTTTCTCCAAATGTGGACGGCCGAGTGCAAACACGAGCGAGCTCACAATGCTCCGAGGTGTGATGTGCGTCAAACAAGATGCTCTTTTAGAGGTTTTTCTGCACTGTAAAAAGTCAGTGAGCCTCAACGGACTGACACAAAGATGAAGTGCGACCGTTTGTCAGATGCTTTTGATTTGGAGAGAAATGTTTGTCGGCTGTGGTTTGCTTTTAAATATTGGTCTCCTTGATGCCTGTTTGGGAAAGCAAATATCAGCGAGGAAACATCAACTTGCCAAGGCCTAAAATTAAAATGTGTTTTTGTTTTGCTTTGTTTTTTGCAGTCCTGGCTGGATGAACGGGTTAGAAACGCATGTTTTTCCCAGCTTTTTTTGGTGGTGAGAGACATTGCAGCTGAAAGGTATAAAATGTCTTAGAATGCAGTTGTGGTGCTGATTAGTGCATCAATTCCAAAATTATTTCAGGAATTATGCAGATGAACGTCTTTTTTTGTTTTAAGTCTTGAGATCAAAACTCTAGTTGTTGTCATTGCTTTGGAGGCCCGGAGCCTACACACCAGTCTTCAGAGGGAAGAGGAAACTACACAGCCTGTGTCTGGGACGGCATGGTGATGAATTGGATGCGCAACACAGAGGCTGCGTACAAAAAGGGGGAGAGCAGGCTGCAGTTTCTAAAGAAGTTGAGATCCTTCAGTATGTGCAACAGCCAGTACTAGGCTGCGGACTGCTGGCAGAGCAGCTTTGGAGCTGTGCGATGACTGAACTGAATAAACTCATCGGGAAGGCTGGCCCTGTGATTGGCTGCAAATTGGACTCTTTGGGAGGTCACTTAACAAACTGTAATCCATCCATCCATCC